ATATATATATATATATATATATATATATATATTTGCACATTCTTCTTCTTTCATGGTTGATTTGATAAATAAGGGCATTGTGATGTAATATTTTGATAATCATAGGTGATTTAGAACACTGAAAAACGTTAATTTGTAGGAGTGTGCATTGCTGACTGATGGTAGATTTTCTGGTGGATCACATGGATTTGTTGTCGGTCATATATGCCCTGAAGCGCAGGTATTTCATTTTTGTCACACCCAACATGTAAAATACAATTTTTAAAAAAATTGCAAAAAAATTTCTTGGTGGATTGTTTGATGAACATTTGCTTTATGTGAAGACTTGTATAATTTAGCATAATATTTGTCTTTCTTATGGAGATTTTATAATTTTTTTTTGAAGAAGCTTTTACAGAAATAATCACTCCTATATGTTATGATTCTCTTTTATTTTATAAAGTTATTACAAAATGAAACTTATGTTTATATGTCATGTAAAATCCTCTCATCCTCTCAATGCAAGCCTATACAAAGTGTTTTTTATGCAGTAGCAAAAGAAGTGGCATTTGCATTCACAACACTCGTAACATGGATATTTACAAATTTATCACCCTCTTTCACCCATTCTGAAAATTTATACCTAAATATCAAAATGCACTAGTATTTTTCATTTTTATCAAATTATCAATAGTTTGATCATGGAACGCGTAAATGTATTGGTTTGGCAATTCAAAAAATCACATTGGCAGTAGTTTTGTAAATAACAATATTTTGAGTGATGAGTATGTAATTATCCCCGTGCATAAAGCTACTTTGAGACTGAGTTTCCTTTTGGGGCAGCTTATCCGCTGCAACGGCGTTTTGAAAACGCAGTCTTACCATTTGGAAACTGCGTTTGAGCAATTTATCCAAAAACACATGTTTTTTTACACTAAACACAGAACGTGGGTCGCACCCCGCTGTCCGCGTTTCTAGATAAGGGGCTTAACTGGATAAGCGCAAGCTACACGTAAAAACTCTAGGACTATTTTGACACTTTACTCAATATATCAGTTAGTAAAAATGTAATAATTCATATTATGTGGCATGAACAAAACCATTTTGATCCGCCTCTTGTCAGGATGGAGGACCGATTGGGCTGATCCAAAATGGTGATGTAATTACAATTGACATTAACAAAAGAAGAATAGATGTTCAGCTTTCTGATGAGCAGCTTACTGAGAGAAGCAGAAAATGGAGCCCCCCTCCTTACAAAGCAACACGAGGAGTTCTTTTACAATTATTTTTCTCCCCTGCCTCTGTAACTTCTTTTTTATCTGAAACTGCAGTTTTTTATTTTTATTTTTATTTTTATTTTTATTTTTTGCAGTATATTAAAAGTGTTCAATCAGCTTCTAGAGGATGTGTGACAGATGAATAGGTGATGTGTATTTATGTAGTTTATTTATTTACTCTTGAGCTAATTTTCCTGAGTGTTTTTGGGGACTGATTTTTTGTCAGGACGTTTAGTTTGTGTTATTTATATGCAGAGACTTTTTTTCAGTCCCCAAGTTTTCACCAGAGAGTTAATAAGTTATTTGTAATTTTGTTATTGTTGAAGTAAGTTTTTGAAAGAAATTGTATTGAATTGAGAGTTTTTCTGTCAGAACTCTGAAGCATTAAATGTTTGTTTTAAGTTATTAGTTGCAGTGTATGAATGAGTTCTGGTGGATTCTCATCCTTCTTTTTTATTGCAAGACAAATGGTCGAAATCAACATATTTGGATCAATATGCTACATATTCAAATTCATTTGTTTAGGAATATTTACATACATACCACTCAATTCATATGTATTTACATCTCTAACTAAATTTTAATTTTACATGCGTGCCACCTTTCCTTTGCACAAAAATGTCATTTTTTTAGAAGTAAACAAATGGTGGTATTTTTGATGTTATGTAAAAGATTTGGGTGCTATTAATATGAAAAATGAAGTTTGTGCTAGACATGTAAATACATAAGAATTGGGTTTGGATGGTTTGTATTTAAGTTCCCCAAATGAAAATTATAATGTGTCAAATAAGGGACTTTGAAAAGTATGGAGTGGCTATTTTTTTTCGCACAAAAATTACAGTTTTTGCAGTGTCTGTAGGTAGACGGAATACTCATATACAAGTAATGCAACAGGGGAGTTTACATGAAAGTATGCAACCTACAAAAAAAGCTGCACTGTATGATCTACAACAAAAAAAAAAAGGAAAAGCTTCGGAGGTGGACCTTCTCAAGAAAAAATTTTTTGAAGAAGGGCATGTTATAGAAAAAGATTCTGGAAGAGGGCCTGATGCAGGGAAAAAGTTCCGGAGGAGGGTTTGCTGCAGGAAAGATTTCGGAGGGAGCAGAAAAAGACTCCGGAGGAAGGCCTACTGCAGAAAAAATTTTCGTGAAAATATGCTTGCGGTAGGAAGAATTTTGGTGGAGGATTTATTGTGGGAAAAACTTCAAAGGGAGGGTCTACTGTAGGAAAAGAGTTAGCAGCGAGGAGGGCTTGTACGTCAGTTGTTGGGATTCCATTTAAGGATACATCCAGTCTCGCCTCTATAATAGACTTATTAAAGTCATTTTGCAAGCAAACCAACGATAAAGTCCTCTGTCTTAATAAACCCCCTGACATCTTTCTCATCCATCAAACATTCAATATTCACTGGCACATATCTTCAGCTTCTTGCACGCTGCACCGAGTCTAAGACGCGCACGCATTCTGATAAACATCAATCTTATATTCATCCTTGAACTGTAAAGTATGGCTTTACAGTTAATTATGAATTATGAAAAAGGGAGGTGAGAATTTTAGTCATCCTTCAAAATTCTTCTTCATTGGGTCCCCTCCTCTTAGGAGATTTGGCTTGAACTTAGCCTTAACTTTCTCCTTCCTTGCTTGAATTATGGAGTTGATTTTGACATATCTAAAGCCTCCATTTATTGGTAGCGAAATGTCCTACTTGAATGGATAGAACAACAAAGTTAATTATGACTCATTTTAGTACAAATATAACACTATTTTCCACCCTCCTTGCAATTTGAGATGATATTCATGTCAATACTTCTTTTTTTTTACTTAAGTAATACAATTGAACCACATGTTCCTGCAGTCGTCGACCATCGCTCACCGGCTATTATCGACCACCTACAGCCTCACCTTGCTCGTTGCAACGGAACCCTTTGTAGAATTACAACATATACTGTGAAATCCCGACGTACGTTGCGGAATAATGAAGCACCTTGCAAAAGAATGACGTGTACCGAATATGATGCAACAATACACCCCAAATACGGTGCAACGAAGAAGACTATATACCAACGCACTTCGAATACACTACAACAACGAGCCCCGAATATGATGGAACGATGAGCCCCAAATACGATGTAATGATGTGTCTCAAATACAGTGCAACGATGCACCCCTAAGATTGTGTAATGACGTGCCCCAAAGTTATCTTAACAACACACTCCGCATAGGGTGACTTTCTCAGGACTCCTAAAGTTCTCTCCTCGTAGCTCTTCACTACGACTTATGTGACCAACTATGGGCAACATGGTCCATAGCTCATGTAGTTTCCGCCTCCCACCTATGTGGCATAAGAATGTCGTTATAGCTCACTACTACGACATATATGACAAACCATGACCTACATGGTCCACAACTCTTACAACTCTCTACTACGGCATACGTGTCTAATCAATGCTCTTAAACCAACCATCTACAACCAACATGACCAACTACTACCACGACTTTCAACTATGGCATCCACGACAAGCCGACAATATAGCCATCATCCACCATGTTTATAGCGGGCTATTGCTTCATAGAAACCAAGTAAATCTTTTACGAACTGTTACAACTATTAATGAATTAATGGTGTACATCAACCCTATAATTTCATCTTCTCTAATTCGAAAGAAGAGTAGACCTACGTACTTACAATCACATAGAGTCATTTCAACTGAGCTAGACCCAATGATCATTTATCTTTCAGACTTTTGAAGTAAAAATTTAAGATAGTATATGCATGTATTAGATCTTCATCCAACACTAAGTCACTAAATTATTATTCTATTGTTGTGAATATTAGACGGATAGATATATTAAAAATAACGCGGTATATATGCAAACCATCCCATTTATTTAAATTAATATCAAATATTTTACTGTTGGCTTTTTTTTTTTTTTAAGAGGTGGAAAGAGGGAAAGAAAGTTTTGCATCCATCCCACTCAAAATTTACATATTTATATAATTGAAATTTAAGTTTTTCATTTATATACTATTTTAAGATTTACATCAATGCCACTCAAATTACATATTTATATATTTAAAATCTAACTTCTAAAATTTAAACATTTGTGTCATAATCATATCAAAATATATACTCAAGAAAGTATGTTTCACATTAAAATTAATATAATTAATATTTTTGATGAAATGTTAAAAATGTAGATAATATATAAACAAATATTATAATTTATATATTAGATCTATAAATAAATATAAATTATATGACATGTCAATAATTCGCTCTGATTTTATCAAGAATAATATAGCTTAAATTCATTATCTTTCATTTTAAACCTCTATTGTTATACTACAAATCATTCAGCATCAATGCCTCCGTTTATACCTGCCAATATCTAATTCCTAAATTTTCATTTTCATTAAAAAAATACAATAACAATAAAGAACCATATAAAAATGTAATATTAATCTGCATAAAAAAAATAAAAAAAATAAAAAAATAAAAACTATGGAAGCTTTCCTAAAGAACATCAAAGCAAGTTAAGCCGCAATGAAAGGAACTGAGAGAAGTAGATGTCAATAAAGAAGCAAAACTGCTACAGCAAAGAGAACCAAGCACAGGAGATGAAGAAAATTTGAGTCATGGTGATTTTTACAATCATTACATCCGCTTTCAAATAAGTGCAATATAATTTATAATTTATGAATATAACCCCCATGCAAATTTCAGGATATGTTTTTCACTTTATAAAAATTCATCTCAAAACTTACTGCCACAAAAATTCTTATAGAATGGTAGCTGAAATGGATGCTACCTGCCACAAACAAGAAATAAGTTATTTAGTAAGAACAAAGAATGATAAAACATTCAAGATCTGACAGACTGCTACAAATGCTACCAAAAGAGAAATTGCTTTGTAAATATTATCTTGTTAATTAACTATTGATTAGCAATTCATTTAACAAAGATTGACTGAAAAAAACATTAGCATGATTCAGTACAACATTAGTAACAAAATTGCCAGAGATATTTGCCATGGATCTGTTGTAACATGTAGCTAAGTAGATAAAAGAAAAAGTTTGTTGTGAATAGCTACAAATTACTTAGCTAAGAAATGTTATTTTAATGCACTAAAATATTTTTAGCCATAAAGAGAGAATTTATCATTTAATCATTGAATGAAAATACATCATAAATAGGGCGTCAAAAAAGTTATTTGTTATTAAACCGCTCATATTCATTACTTGTATAATGATATATTATGTATATTTATCTTTAAGTTTAAATCATCACAGGTTGTGTAGGCACGTGGCTCTATGCATTTTATTGCATTGAATGGTGCAAGTTCGACTCCAACGCTATACATCTATTTTTCCAATTAGTTTAAACGAGTCAATTTTGAGCCAAACATAAACAAGAATATGTAAATCGAGATGAACGCAAACAAATTGTTGAGTGATTTCAAACAAGAGCCAATTTCGAGCATAATTAATTTCGAACTAGTTGAAAATGAGCTGAGCTTGAGCTCGTCTAAATCCCTAATCACAAACATTGATGAAATAAATCAAAATCAACTCAGACGAGATGAGATTTTTTACTTTAAAAACCTATAGAAGTAAATTTATAAATAAGAAATGTTATTTTAATGCACTAAAATATTTTTAGCCGTAGAGAGAGAATTTATCATTTAATCATTGAATGAAAATACATCATAAATAGGGCCGTCAAATAAATTATTTGTTATTAAACCGCTCAAGTTCGGCTTGCTAAAAAGTAAGAAAATTATATATTATTTATATAATAATATATTATGTATATTTATCTTTAAGTTTAAATCATCACAGGTTGTGTAGGCACGTGGCTCTATGCATTTTATTGCATTGAATGGTGCAAGTTCGACTCCAACGCTATACATCTATTTTTCCAATTAGTTTAAATGAGTCAATTTTGAGCTAAACATAAACAAGAATATGTAAATCGAGATGAACGCAAACAAATTGTTGAGTAATTTCAAATACGAGCCAATTTCGAGCAGAATTAAGTTCGAACTAGTTGAACACAAGTTGAGCTTGAGCTCGTCTACATCCCTAATCACAAACATTGATGAAATAAATTGAAATCAACTCAGAAGAGATGAGATTTTTTACTTTAAAAACCTATAGAAGTAAAAAAAAATAATAACAAATCCTCAGTTGAAATAATTTCTCAATAGAAAACTAACCAGAAAAAATAGAGGTGTACACCTATTTAAAAATGCCTCATTGCACGCTCGTGTCCCTTCTTCCATATGCAAGGATATAACTTCAAGTTATTTTAAATGTGCCATCCGAAGGCACTTCTCGAAAGCATGTTATACTATACATAATTTTAAATAGGGGCATCTACATACATACAACCCAATTCTCATGCATTTACATATCTAACACCTAAATTTTACTTTCTATATTTATACCACCCAAATCTTTCATATCATATAAAAATACCATTACTTCAACTTTTAAAAAGTGAAAGACACCTTTCCATGCATAGGAACATGACATGCACGTAAAAGTTAAAAGTTTAGGTGTTAGATATATAAATACATAATAATTAAGTGGTTTGTATGTAAATCTTCATCTTCAATATTGAAGAGTAGTACAATGTAGTGGATATGAACCATAAAAGCTTCCATGGTTAAAATAGTGGGAGTTTTAAGGCCATGGAGTCATAATCAAGAGACAATTGATGCTTGCTACCCTAAGTCCTTTTACCTCAAAGTCTCTTTCCAAAAATTCTTCTTAATCTCATTAGCTCTTCCTCAAAGTCACCAACCAATAAAATATAGTATTATAAGTTCACAACACATACAATTAAATTGCATTTCTTCACACTGGCGTTTACAAAGAGTGTGATCAACAAGGGCATTGAGTGTGCCCACAATTTTGAACTTATTTAGAGCATATATAAAACTATGCATGAGGGGATTGTTTGAAATCAAATGAAATTTTTGGGAGATTTACATACCTACCATTCAAATTTTATGCATTAGCATATCAACCACCTAAACTTCAATTTTTACCTATTTCAGCATAGAAATTGGTGGTTTGTTCATTAAAGTTTGAGTGGTTGATAAGTTAAATACATAAGAATTGTGTAACATGTATGTAAATACCCCAAATTTTTTAAGTCTATTGTTGTTTCTCTAATTTTCCAAACTGGGTGGGATCCTTATGTATACATCCCTACTTACGATCCACAATAAGAAAATATTCTTAATGTTAAACTAAAGATAAATGCTAGCACAAAATTATTGCCTCTAAGAGCAAAACACAAATTATGTTGAGTTTGGCAAAGGAAGTTAAAGGAAAATAGAATTTGTTGATAGTTAATAGATAAGATTGGATGTACCATTTTACAACAACTCAAGCATTAAATTTATCTACATACCATTCCATATGATTTTATATTGACTATAAAGATACATTAGAATTCAACCATGTACCAATCTTTGCTAAGACTTCATTTTCTTCAATTACAACTTGTTTTCACCAAGATGTCTTCTTACTTACCGACCTTTGCTAAGGCTTGGATTTCTTCTATTACAACTTTTTTTTTTCGCTCATGAGTTTTGAGAGCATCATGAATATTATTTGGAATCTATATTTTATCAAGACGGGCGTCCAAAGCAGTTTAACTAGAAGAAAGCATTTTATAAGTAATGAAATTATATAGTAGGTGTTTGGTGTGGGACCTCGCTTCTTTCCTCGAAACAATAAGAAAGTAGAGATCAATATCATCTATGGATTTATTCTCCTCGATGTAAAATTCATTGGTCTTTGTACCAAGATTCAAACTATTGGGTCTGTTGGAACATCTAGACTTTTATTTTTCCTACTGGTATAAACATGAAACTTATTCTATGTAGGTTGGATGTATAAATAAGATGATGGGAAAGTAAACAATTCTAATAAAGCTTTAGTAATTGGATTTATTGATAAGAAGAGAGAATTTGTGGTTTTATAGAAGTTGCAATAGGTTGAATGAAGGATGATAGAAAATATTCATTTTAAACGAGTTTGATGAGAATGGAGGATGATGGATAATCAAATAGGTTAAAACTTTGAGATTCTTCTACTTGAATTTCCTCCTACTAAATTTTGGGTTTGAAGTAAGAGTGGTGTTCAAGATATATACATTGAATTGTAATTTCTTTTGTGAGAAAGAAATATCAATTCTATCCTTCTTGATTTAGGGAGAATTCAATAAATTCGCATCTACTAGATTTAGAATCTTTTTTTTTTTTTTTTTGTTGATGAGTGTTATATCTGAATGAAAATTCAACAAACAAAAATTTTTCAAAGTATAAAAGAAATAATTTTGGTCTTCAAAAAAAATATAAATGGGTACTCTTGAACACATTCTATCAAAAAAATCCATAACTATTAGCATAGCTTTTTCCATAGATATTTAAAAATTTTTATAGAGCAAATTAAGCTTTTTTTATAGTAACTTCATTTTATTAATGGTTGTCAAAAGAAAAACTTTACTAGATAATCCCTTGAAGAATAAGTTTTCTTCTAAGGTTGATTTCTATCATTGAAGTTATCAGCTTCGTGACCATTTTTCAAAGAAGTAATCCGTCCTCTTCTTTCTAAAAGTTTTCTTCACATATATTTGTCACTTTGTTGGACGGAGACTAGTTGTTATAACAACTATTAAAAGACTAGTCAGCATACAGGAAAGACATCATGTTGAAAGACCTACAGACCTTACAGGGAGGGTGCCTATCGTAAAGGTAAATTCCCTCAAAAGAAGAACAAGTAGACGAACTCACCAATTGGGTTTCAGAGAACTTGCCATATGAGATTGAGATGAACTTAGTAGGCAAGTTCCATGAAGATTCACTAGCTGGGTTTGAAGTACCAACTCGCCAAGGGACAAGACAGACTTATCTTCTGACGAGAGAGAATATATCCACTAAGATTTAAAAAAAAAATCTAATTCAAGGTTATCACCAGACTCGTCAAGTCAATCCTATCAAGGCAGTCAGCCATACATGGAGAAGCTACGCAAAAACTACTATTTAGATGCCTAGCCACTTCTATATCTAATGGCTGACTACTATCTTGAGTTTGAAGCTATACTCAAAGCACTTAATCTTTTTTTTTTTTTCCTTTGCTAGGGAATGTTGCATTTATCATATATAGAATTCATTCAATAGTGCTCTAAATCTCAAATCCTTGTTCATAAATAAGGGATCGTGAGGAGACCCGTCGGCTTGCAATTGTTGCACTAAACTATAGTACTTGATCGACTATAATGACTCTTTTTCCCCTGTGTTTGTAAAGCTCACGCATAATGCGTGGTCAAAACAAAATTCAACAGGTGAAAGATTAGTATCTTTGATACCATCATGAAATTAGAATATGAGGGTAGAAAGTAAAGATTTCACAACTAATTTTATACACTTATTGTGTTAAAAATAATAATTAAAACTCAGCAAAGGAAAAAAATAATTATCCATAATAAAAATAAATTTAAAAATTAACTATATAATAAAAAAAAAGTTATTGACTACGAATTATTGATTTGTTATAAATGAAAAAATTGTAAACAAATTATTAAACTGCTATAAATGGAGAATTGTTGTCCATAGATTGCAGGTTTTGTTGTAAGGAAAAGATGCTTGCCACGGATTAAGATTACTTCAACACCTACGGATGCTAAATATATTTATTGATAAACTAATTTTCATGATCAAGATTCATCCATTGGGGGTATTATCGGCAGTTGCAAAGCCTTTTGGTTGCCAAAGAACCTGCACAAATTCATGGCGTTCACTATTTTAAGTTTTTTATCACGATGATCTAACAAAAGTATATACTCTCCCAGTCTATGGTCATCAATCAACAAACAACTTTACTCCAAATGATGTAAGCAAATGCCTTTCTCCATAGGGATCTATCATAGTAGTTTATATGAAGCAAACTGTTCTACATATAGGTTGCAAAAAATCACCGTTTGGTATAATAAACTCTTCAATATCACCATTTAAATATTATTCAAAGCAGTACAATTTATCACTTTATCTTTATCGGCCTGTAGTCTTCTTAGACGATAAATAATGCAATATATGTAAAAAAATTGAGAAAGTCCAAAATACATTCTTGGCATGGAGTTTGCATACATCAAAGATGAAGTCTCTTTATCTCATAGGAAATATACAAAAATGGCAATTTTGTAAAGGGCCTTTTGTATATAAAATAGCTTCTAGTATTTCTTATCAAATGTAGTTTAGCAATTCAGTGGCCTAGAAGGTAATATAGTATAAAGAAACAGGGCAATTTTTTTTTTTCTTTTTTCGTTGATTCACTTTCAGCATATACCCAGAGACTCTTAGAGTGGACTCCTTAGTTTAGAAATAACGTGAGGAGAAAACCATAAAGGGAAAACCATAGAGGGAAAAGCATTCAAGTGGTCTCCTATAAGTCAACCATGGAAACATAGCTTTAGTCTCATTTCCTCCGGGTTCCTTTAGTAGAATCAAGCAAGGAGGCCAACGACAGAGTCAAGAACCTCCAATTCGAAGCGTTTGGTCATTTCTAGGATAAAGAAGTCCTCGCATCAGTTTCTCTGTATTCTAAAAATGTTAATTTCAACATTTTTGTTTTTCCAAATGAACACTAAACTGTTGTTTATTTGAAATTTTTGTACAGCAGGTTGTTGTTCTTCAGAAGAGATGTTTTGGAACATTTTTGGGAGGAAAAAATAAATATCATTTGAACTTGAAAGAATGAAAATATTCTTAATATCATTATTATTTCAATATCAAATTTTGGAATTAGAGCCCTATGTTTAAGATACTGCCAAATATAAACAAACCCCTTCACAGCCAAAATTTAGCAATAGAAGAACTGCATCATGAAATTCAAAAATTACAACATAGATTAGCGAAATATAAAAGGCATGAGCAAGAATCACATGCCTTTCATTGAGATGACACTCATTTAGAATCCTAGCGAGATGGACCATTTCATAAAGCATTTCAAAAATCATCTGAGGACGAATCTTATTTATCATTGAAAAATTTTGAAGTTGAGTTAAGGTTGATATTACAAATTTTGAAGGCGGGTTAAATCCTAATGATTTCATAGATTACCTACATACGATAGAGGGTAAATTTGAATTTAAAATATACCTACTGACAGATGTGGAGAATTTAAACAACCCCCTCGAAGAGATTGGTAGAACTTGTAGCCATTAAACTTTCAAATAAAAAAAAAAACATCCATTTGGTGAGGGAATAAAAAAAAAAGGGCTAAACAGAATAAAAATAAGATTAAAACATAAGAGAAGAAAAAAAGAACTAAAAAAAGGGTACTTGCCATCTCATTTCAAGCAAGATATCTTTAACTTCATAATTTTCAACAATGCATTTTGTTCGTAGAAGGATAAACTATTGATTTCGAACAATTGAGATTGAAATGTGACTAAATTTTTCAAATTTTAGATAGGGCAAGGAGTAAACTATAGCAGTGTTTAAGGCCGTGCAAATTGATTATCCTAGGTCCCTTAAAACTTGTTTTGTGATAATTCTGAAATGCTCCAATACATCCAGCAACTTGAAGTTAATCTTTGGTATGGGAAAAAAATTTAAGCAGTCTTCTATGGTTGAGGCAATTATGTGTCCAAAACATAGTTCTAGTCTCATTTCCTTTAGTTTCCTTCAGAAGAACTGAGATAGGACAGGGCCAAGAATCTCCATTGGAAGTAGCATAGCAGTGAAAATGGATTTACTTGTAGTTTTAAGTCTCTTCGATGGCCGTGAGTGAACATTTATTGGATCAAGGACTCCCCACATTTGGTTATCTGTATTCTAATTTCAATGATTTCAAAAATTTGGTTTCTAAGTAAACATTTAATTATTATTTATCACAAAGTTGTGTATATCAGGTTGCTGATTGATCTCAAGCAGCTCACACAAATTTCTCTGTATTCAGCCAAGCCAATAATTTGATCATTTTCCTTGATAGAGCCATGTGAATTATGTGAATTAAAAAAAACAACAGCTTTCAAAAACCTTGCTGCTTATATCGAATTTGTTATTTATTCGATAGGTTAATCCATTATCTAAGTCATTGTGGGGTAGCTGTCAACATTTGTAAAACTTTATTACTGCAGGTGGCTTCAACAAACAAAAAAAACCTGCGTTGAGGGCCTGTAAATCATTTGTTATGGTGGAAACAGAGGCAACCGTCCCTAAGGTCTACCTAAGAGTTGTTTTGGAGCATTTCCGGGGAAAAGAATTTACTCCAATTCAAGTTATTTAATTAGGATATTGTAACTTTGATTTGTAAATAATTATCCATAGAATGACTTTTGTTAAGTAGTTTTGTTTTCCCTTGGCGTAAAAGATTCTCATAAACAGCTTACCATTAGTCTTTTGATAGTGAACTATTTAATTTTTAGTTATTAAGTCGATATTTCGGTGTTAAAAGGACCTTGAAAAAATTAGACTTACTTGAGTGAAAACCTACTAATGCTCCTATGGATACCTTATAAATTTACAAAGATGAGAAAAACTTTAAGATACCTTTCTTTGTCAGTGGTTGGTTAAGAAGCTTATTTACATGTCACTCGATCGAATATTTCCTCAGTTATTGGTGCAGTTAGTCAACATACATAACATTCTAAAGAATTATTAAAATGACATTAAGTTTAATAAATATTAATTTCAATAAGAAAATGACTGGTTTAATATAAATACAATCATTTACAAACTAAAGTCAACCATGATAAGTATGTTAAATTTGTTGAAGATTGATAGTCTATTTCAAGAAATTTTGTTTTGTAAGAGGAATGTAGCTTACTGGAGTAGCAAAAAGTTAAAAGTCCATTTCGGATTTTTTTTCTATTTTTTGTTTTTATTTAGTTTTGTTTAAGTTTTGATTTAAAACAAAACATGTTTGACTATTTGATTAAAATACGATTATTTCTAAAAATACTGAAAATACCAAAAAGTTTTTTTGAGTTTTTTTTTTAACATGTAAATTTGTTTTAGAAAAAAAAAATGTAAACAAACATATTTTTAAGAACAAAAGAAAAAATAAAAAATAAAAACAAAACATAAAATTTATAACAAACAAGCCCTAAATGTTGTAATGAGATATATTATTGAAGCAAAATACAAAGTTCTTCTACATTTCACCCATTCAATGATGTGTAAAAATAATCTTGCTGAAGCACTTCGCTTTCCTGTTACTCAACCTATTACTCTTGTTGATAATCAGGCCATTATTCACATTGCAATGTGCTAGCCATTTTTTTTTCACAAAAAAACAAAACAGATATTTAGATTGCAATTTTATCAGAGATAATTTTTACTTCTTAGAAGGATCATCACTTATTATGTTTAGTGGAGGACATTAGCAGACATTTTATAAAAGCTTTGAGACCAATTCAATTCTTCAATCTTTAATTATTAATCCTTTCTAATTCTATCATTTATACCTGTCCATATATAGCATCAATTCTATTGTAATATTAATCAATTTATTTTCCCATGAACAAAATGAATGTTGGTGATTTGCATGAACTTTATTTAAGCAAAGATTAACTGTTCCATTTTTTCACAAAAATAAGGGAGAAATTAATCACTTATATAATTAAAAATTATTCCTCTAAAGAAACTTACATGAGGTGTATAGCAGATGGCATTGAAACAGCAGCAACCTTTTGAGCCTTGTGGGTTTCACATCTGTACAGACCTTTAAGTTCTTTTTTTGCTCGTCTCGCTTCTCTCCTTTCCTCTTTCACTGCAGCCTGCATGCAGCATTGATATTTACATTAGCAGTAAATGGAAAAAATAAACAATGATAAACATAATAATTCCACAAAAATCATACTTTAGATCTTTCCAAAATGATCATCACAAGTAAATAAACTGATCCGAATAGGCTTTGTTAAGTCAATTGTCCGACACCATAGAAATCAATGAAATGTTTATCTCAACTATATAAGCACTTCATTAGGGCATTATATTTTCATGTTAATGAATAATTAAACTATGTTTGAAGCATAATGATGTAGAATTAGATCAGTGGTTGCGTTATCTAAATATCTATCTATCAGCTTCAAATATAAGAACTAAAACAGTGATGTTAATCTACATCTACAAACTCAACGCAACGTGAGTTTGTATGAAAGCTTGTGCGTGAGTGTGTGTTCAAAAGAAATTCATATGATTGAGTCCTCCTACATCATAAAATTGACTCTATGTGTGCACGCGCGCCCGTTCAAAAGATGATAGTATTGTTGTATGGCCAAATCAGCTTCATACGTGCAAAGATAGATGTATATATAAAAATAAATAAAAAATAAACCATGAAGACTAAACCAACACATTAATTAATTAAAAATACTTCTTAACAGACATGAAAAGGACAACAGCAGCTACAAGTATTCAAAATATATCCAAGCATAACAAAAATTGCAGCATGAAGCCTAAAGAAAATCAAGTGATTCAATTTTTAAAGCAGAATCAAGTTTTAATATTCAAGTCTCAAACTCTTTAACCTTTGCAACTAACATAAATAAACCAAATGAAACGATATATTAGTACCTTGCGTTCCTTTTTCTCATCTTTTGATTCCTCTCTATGCGGTTTACTCTTTTGTTTCTCAAAACCAGCTGGTTTCTTAGCCTTTTCAAATTCTTTTTTGATGTGTGATAAAAACTCCACTGGAAGCTTCTCTTTACCTCTAAGTTCAATCATGCCAGTCTTCTTAATTGAATCAACTGGAAGTTTTTTTGCAAATTTTCTTTTTAGAATCTCTGGAGTTTGTATTATACCAGGATGGTTGTCAAGATTTGAATAAGTAGATACAATAGTCTCACAGTCCCAAACTTCTAATTCGTCACTACTTTCCTCAACCAAGATCAAATCTTCTTTATCCCCATCATCATTAAAATACTTTTCAGCATACTCTCTACACCTGCTAATTAAATCTGCAGAATCATCCAACTGAATGCCCATGTTTGGTGCTTCTTGTTTACATATATAATCCCCAGGAGCTCGATATTGCTCTTCAAATTCTAAATCATTCACTTTGCACTCCCTTAGAGCATCATGAAGCTTTGTAACAGTCGTATCAGCCTCCTCATCGTGATAGCTATCATCGTCACTGTAAGTGTCACCATATCCTCGCAGCGCGAGCTTTAAAAGAAACAAAAAATGAGAAAGAAACAAAATAATATTAAGGACCAAGGGAATCCTTGTAAGTAAAGAAAATTATGAATGACAGCTAAAGAAATTTCTTCAAAAAGAAAGATTAAAATTACAAATGTTGATGATAAAATAGTTACCAAATCAAACTGTTCGTCCAGCAGCCTAGGAATTCTAGGCTTGTCACCATCTTCTAATTCATCTACACCATCCTCATCATGAGACTCATCCTCCAGCACATCCTTACTCGAGCACATTTTCCTTTCCATTTTATCTCCTCCTGGTTCAGCTTCCTCCACTTCTTCACTTTCCCCCTCACTACTTACAGGAAGATTGGCCTTGAACACGAAATCCTCATCAAAGTCCTCCGTATCAGACCCAAACCTTGACAGATCGCTATCATCTAGCAACCTCGCCACATCGGGATCAGAAACCTTTTGAACCCTAACACCAACCGCCTTAGTAGCAACAGCATAGATTGAATCCTTGTCTGACTCAACTCCTCTAAGTTTTAGCCTCGAGGCATCAAAGGCCTTACAAGAGTATCAAACAAAATAAATAAATAAGAGAATTCTTAACTAGAAAGAACGACAACTTCAAAAAAAAACATCAGCTTTACCTTAACATCAATCGGCACGAGATCCAATCTTGCCTTGCTGTTTTGATAGTAAGCAGCGCCAGCACCAGCATTGCCGATTTGCCGAAGATGCTGAAGATAGTTATAGCCGTCGTCGGGTAACCCAAGCTCCAGGATTTCCTGTCTAACTTTATCCGGAAGCAAATTGGAAGCCGCCCGATTACTCGTGACGCGGGCAGCATGCCTCAGCAATGGCAGCGAGAAGCTCCCTACGTCATCGGTGTCGCCAGGTGCATCGGCGAAGATGGAATCGACATTATCTACTCCTTTCAATTCGGCTTGCTCGGCAGCGGCGCGATCGTTTCCGCCATTATCGTCCTCGAACATGCCGGGCACGCTAAAAACGTTGTTGTCGACCCTGACAAATACGCGGTCGGATGATGGGGGAACAGGAGCTTCGGCATATTCGGGAAAGTTAGATGTGTCGCGTGCGAGAAGCTTGAAGGTTGCGGATTTCTTCTTATCGATGAATGACTTCTTCTTGCCCATCTTACACGTATTCTGGAGATGCCCAGGGGTTATAACCGGAGAAGGGGAATAGTGGTTGCCGTTGAAGGCCGGCTCCGGGAAGGGGGGGTGGTGGATCGGCCTTAGGGCCCGCGCTCGTGAGTGTCGAGGGAGGTATTTATAGCCGGAGAAGGGGAAGATTGCTTACCACCGATGAAGACCGGCAGTGAGCAGAGCGCCTCTCTTGCCTCTCTTGCCTCTCTTGCCTCTCGGGCATTGCTAGGGTTGCAGGAAAACGGGAAAAATATTAAATCAGGAATACTAGAGTTCGCATCGGAACAATCGGAACATTTAGGTTTCTCATGCGTTATTTATAAAAATTATTTAGGTTTGTTATGCGTTATTTATAAAAATTATTTATTATTCGATTATTTTAAGGTGTTATTATAATATTTCATCATGTTACTTAATTTGGGGCTGAACTGTTATTGAAATATTCTCTCGCGTTATTTGATTTGATGTTGTGTTATTCCTGGTAAAAATTGAAATAATATAGGGGATGTGCCGAACAACACAACCCCAAATTAGATAATACGGGGAAATGTTCCAATGACATTGCAAAATAATCGAATAACACATCATTTTTACAAATAACACAAATGGAATATTCCCTTAGCACAGCCGGATATTCCAATCCGAACGTAACTCTACATTATGAGTCATGATGTAATATTTTTCTAGGGTTGCGAGCGTGTGTGCTCAAAGGTGAAGGATGTGTGATTTTATTATAGGGATTTCTTTTTTTTTTTAATAATATCTTACGACAGTTGTTATTTAAATGTCGATAAATTATATTAAAGTGTGTGTATTTACAATGTAAATTCGACGTTTCAGATGGGCATGTACGGTTTGTTTCATCATATGAGGTCATTTTGACAAATTAATTGGTGATCAGGACAATTTAAGCCAGTTTTTTCTGCGACGCGGCGAAAGATGTTTGTTAATTCGATTGAAGTTGTTCGACAAAAAAAATAATGGTCGGTCTTCACTTCGGCGAGAACCAAAGTCTAGCAAGACAATCTCTATGGCATGCCTCCAAACAGGCGTTCAAGGGTCTCTTTAAAACTTCTTCGATTTTTATAGGAACTCAACTTGAGTTTCAATATGTTTGTTTTAATCATTCAACTAAATATTGAGGATTTGAAATCACACATATGAAACTACAATGAGTCAATAACTGTTTTAAATCTCTATATGGTACGGGTCTCAATACTAGTCCTCTGGGAGAGTCAACAGGGAAGTCCTTTGACTAGATCATATAATCTAGATAGAGAGAGACTTTATAAAAATGAGGTCAACATTGACAAAACAATAAACGAGACAGATTGAAGCCTAACGACCAACAATCCCATTCTGAGAAAGATGGGGGCCGACAACTCCCACTATCAAGATAGTGTTGGATTGACCATGTGTTGTGAAAAAACGACAGCAGTAAAAAGAAAAATAGGATATAGAAAAATTGCAAAACAGAAAACAGCGAAACACACAGATCTATATGGTTCGGCAAATTGCCTACGTCCAAAGAGCTTCAGAGGATTTTATTAACTTGAGAATTTATATTGTCGAACCTCTCGACGTTCACAAGAAAAAATTATCTCACTCTCTCTAAACGGAGAGCTATGAAGAAGCCTGGAAAACCAATGCCCTGCATACAGAAGAAAAACCAGGCTGCAGTCTTCCCCTTTCCATGAACAAAAGTTGCATCTCCTTTTATTACCTCTTCTCGCATCTACTACTCACCGAACAACATAACTAAAAGGGAAGCTTGGAATCTTACCTAAGGAAATTAATTCCTTCTTCTGCACTCATTAATGGAGGGGGCCCCCCCTTCCTTCTTTGTTCATGAAATTCCGATGGGAATTAGAAAGAGGCGGCAAGCATAAATCAGATATATGAAATACATGTAAATGAAATTATATTAAATGCAATTTAATCACTTTTCAGATTTGTCAAAACTGTCAAATCTAAATAGTGGATCGGGCTCCACAATGCCCAACAATTCTTCCACTTGGAGATTGGGACATTGGTTGCATTACCCACTGTCTGCACCGTCCTTTTCTCAAACATGATATACTCCACTTCTGCAACTCAAAATCATGATTTTCATGCCAGAAGATCAACTGAAGCCGAACACAACTTCAGCTTCTTAAGAGTAACACCCTTAGTTGACATATCAGCATCAACATAACATTGTACCTCCAAGCTTTTTTCTGTGTTACTCATGTATCCGCTTATAACTTCCACTGCATGGGGAATATACTGTCTCTGCTGAAAGCTCTTTTCAACAAGTCCAGTCATGCACCTCTTACTGTCATCAAGCGCAATCTTCACCTGGTACACCCACTTGTTGTGTAATGTCTTTTTCCTTTGTGGAAGTTTTGTTAGCTCTCACTTGTTATAATTTTCATCTTGCAACATTTCTTCATAGCTCTGTGATTCTCCACTATATGTTCGTACAATATTCAATTTTCCTGTCTTTGGCGCTTTACCACTTTTCAGGAAACTACTTTCTTCTGTTTCCCCATAATGCACCTCTGGCTCATGTGTCCACTTCTAGGTAAACTTCTAATCATATATAGTGTGTCAGTATTCTTACCACGAGCCAGCACTAATCATTTAATAACCTTTCAAGTATTATCTGGGAACACAACTGAATGACCACCCTCATTGAGCTGTCAAATGTAAATGATGTTTTCTTTTTCAACTAGAAACGTGTCTGACCTTTTGTAAAGTTAATTTGTTCTTATTAGGGAGTGCAATATCAACGTCTCCTACCCCCAGCATGTTTAGAGTTCTTTCATTGGCCAGATATACATTCACAAAGTTACCTGCAACGTCAGGAACGTGTATGACCTTTTGCAAAGTCAATTTGTTATTGTTATGGAGTGCAATATCAACGTCTCCTACCCCCACCACGTTTATAACTTTTTCCATCGGCCAGATATATATTCCCAAAGTTACATACAACATAGTTCCACATTAACTCCCGATGAGAAAATGTATGGAAGGAAGCCTCTGAATGCAGTATTTAGTCATCAACAAAAAATGTGAACTGTCGGCAATAGCACATCCTGTATCTCTCCAGTTACCACATTTGTGAATCATTCTCCTTCTTCTTAGGATTCCTATAGTTCATTTTTATGTGGTTATCTGTGCCACAATTTTAGCAGGTTGTCTGCTGACCAGACTTTGATTTTGATCTTCTTCTATTTGAGTTTATGTTCTATGATCTCCCTCTGAAATCAACAATCAGTGTCGAACTCGATCCCGATGTCTCGCCATAATCTTTCATGTGTACCTCCTCAGTCAAAATTAAATCACGAATGTCATTATACGTCAGTTTAAATTTACCTACAAGACTGCTAACTGTCATCCTCATGGCTTCTCAGTTATTTGACAATGATGCCAACAACATCAACTCATATATCTCATCTTTAAAATCAATTTCAACATACGACAATTGATTTGTGATATTATTGAAATCATTCAGATGTTGTGCAACAGATGTACATTCTGTCATCTTCAAATTAAATAACTTCTTCATCGGATGCACCTTATTATTCGCTGATGAATTTTCATACATACCAGATAAAACCTCAATGAGATCTGCAGTAATGCTCTCCTCGATGACGTTGTGTGTAACAGACCTCGACAAGATTAATCAAATAACACACAGAACTTGTCGATCCAACAAATTTCATTTTGCCTCGTCCATCTTTTCCGGCTTCTTTCCCAATAACGAAAGATTAAGTTTCTTTCCATAGAAGTAGTCTTCTATCTGCATCTTCTGGTATGCAAAATCTGCGCCATTGAAATTATCGATCCCCAATGTCATCACTTCGTCTTCGTCTATTATTCTTTCTTAGATCCAAATCAAATCTTCGATGTCTGTTGTTGTGAAAAAACGACAGCAATAAAGAGAAAAATCGGATTGAGAAAAATCACAAAATAGAAAACAACAAAATACACAGATTTACGTGGTTCGGCAAATTGTCTACGTCTACAGAGTTGCAAAGAATTTTATTAGCTTGAGAAATTATAACGTCGAGCATCCAGACGTTCACAATAAAAAATTTTCTCTCTCTCTCTAAACCGAGAGCTACAACTAAGGATGAAGCCTGAAAACCAATGCCTTTCGTACAGAAGAAAAACTGGGTTGCCAATCTTCCCCTTTTCGTGAACAAAAGCTGCATCTCCTTTTATTCCCTCTTCTCGCATCCACTGTCTCACCGAACAACATAACTAAAAAGGAAGCTTGGAATCTTGCCAAAGTAATTAATTCCTTCTTTTGCACTCATTAATGGAGCTGGGCCCTCCTTCCTTCTTTGTTCATGAAATTCCAGCGAGAATTAGGAAGAGACGGCAAACATAAATTAGATATAGAAATACATGTAAAGGAAATTATCTTAAAAGCAATTTAATCAATTTTTAGATTTGTCAAAACTGCTAAATCGAAATAGTTGACCGGGCTCCACAATACCCAAAACCATGGTGGAAAGACTTCACACCATACGAACCACAACCCATCACGTGAAGAATACCTTTTCAGACAAATCTCTAAAATTGAACCACCCGAAAAGTTTAAGATACCCAATCTAGATTTGCACAAAGGACTCATCACTCGACAGACCATGTAGCTGCTTTCTTGTCCGTCATCGCCATTATCAAGATTTCAGACGCATTCCAGTGTTGTATATTCCGCACCGTACTGATAACTCAAACTTTCATGACAAAAATAATCCCTTCCTTTAGTGAGTTCAAAAGGTTATTCGTGTCTCATTTCGTTAATGTGCCAATACCATGAAAGAAGTCACGGTCTCTCCTCCATGTTAGATAGAAGGAAGGAGAAACCCTTCATTCATATACATTAAGATTATAGCGGGAGATGCTAGAAACATAAAACTTTGAACTTGTAATCGCTTAAACATCCCTAATACAAGGAGTTAATATCAAACAATTTAAATACGCCTTGGGATTGTGGAGCTGAGTTTGATGGTTGACTTTTTAGAGATGACCAACAACCATATTGCTGTTGAATAATTGGCGCTCCATGACCGAGAGGAAGCCAAGAGGCTCATTGCAAACCCCCAATCATAGAAAAAGAGGCCGGTGGATGACGGTTGGTGGGCTAAAGATGGAATATTCAAACTATTAACTAAACAATATTTGTGATTAAACAATCTCTCAGGTAAAAAATTTTTTCCATAGTATCCATCTTTTCTTTTATGACCTCCTCCCAAATTCTTTTCTCAAGAGCATTAAATAGAGTTTGTGGACTGAAATAGGGTTGATATTGATGTTGATTAAAAAATTATAAAGAACGTAGGACTAAACTATATGATATAAATGAGTAATAATTGATTAATCAATACCACCTAATAATAATTCCAACTTATGAACTTGCTAGAAATGCGAGTTAGGTTTGTCCCTTTTTATATGGATTGAAGGAGTACAATTGGTGCAGGACTTGGGCTTTGTTTGACGCAGCTGCAGCTTCTAAGTTTTTCAGCTGCAACTGTGCTGCCCCAGGAACCTGTTGCGGGGAAGCTAACTGTATGTTTGGGGTAGCTGTGTGAAAGCAGCTGTGAGATTGCTATTTCAGAAAAAATTACCATTATGCCCTATTTATTAAAGTTGTTCAAAACAAAACTATGAGAGCCACATATTTGACACTTCAAAAGTACAAATTTAAGAAGATTTGTGCAATTTGAGAAGATTATCAGTTTTGATAAAAATTGAGAAGATTTGTGCAATTTAAATTAATGTTTCTCTATAACTACATCCAACAAAATGATTAATTTAACAAATTTCAACCGTTTTTTAACATAATTACAATATTTAAACAACCAAATGAGACCTTAAAGAAAGAGTGATGAGACAAAGCAAATAGCAAGAATATGGTCTTTTAACAGTATGTAGATAAAGTAGAGGGAAAATGAAGATATTGTTTTATTAAGCGGTTTCTGTGAGCGGTCTAAAGATCATAAGTGCATATCTACATATAATGTAAAATAAAAAATTACATAATTTATAATTTGAGACTAAAATGACCACTCAAAGACACTATTTTGATCCTTTTCTAATTGAAAGTTTGGTGACCCTGATGAAAGCAATGTCCCCGTCTGGTTCTCCCAAATTCGTTTCCTGACCAGCAGCTTCACTCGAAAGGAAATGAGCTACTGGAACAACAATCTCTGCTGAAGGAGGAATGCCCTGAAAAAAAAATAAAGGATAACAAACATGTAAATTCATAAAGCAATGCCACCTTCACATTGAATGTAAAATAAAAATTACATACAGAGTATAAATAATCAACAACACCCTCTGGGCTGTTGTAAGCTGCACGGAGTGCACGTAAAACTGTATCCCTGTCCCAATTTCGCCCACCCATTTCTAGCAACTGCTGGACAGTATGTTCAATATCACTCCCTGCAACCAAATTTGAATTTGCTTGATCATAAGCATCAGCTGTTGGCCTGATATTAAGAACACAAGCTTATAAAAGCCAAATATTCAAACATAAAATGTCAATATAATTGAACATGAATGAATAATTGGAAAGCTCGTTAGGAGGTAAAAGAGTTTAAAGAAACCAAAAAAATAAAAGAGGATTTACATACACAAACAAAATTCCCACTTATTTACATAACTAACACCTAAACTTCAATTTTTACATGCATACTACCTTACCTATAAATTAAAAAGGTTTATTTCTCAATTTAATAGTTAAAATAATGGTCTTTTTTATGAGAAATGAAATTTTTGGGGGGTATAAGCAAGATTTTGATGTTAGATATGTAAATTCATGAACACCAGTTTCATGAATTTACTGGTGCTGATGAATTTACAAGTGTTGATGAAATATTTGGGGGGTATAAGCATGATTATATCGTGAGTGACAACTTTGATAGCCGGTTCCGACGGACAACGGAACGAGCTAAGATTCAAATTTCAAGCAGCCAAACGGCTTCTTTCCAACTCCACTAGATGCTGCATCAGTCTCTCTCTCTCTCTCTCTCTCTCTCCAAACCAAAGCCACGCAAGGCTTTCTTTCCTCCACCGCCATTCTCGCGAAAAACTTCCTCAAGCCATGGAATCTTCGCTATCTCGGAGGAGCAACGTAAATTCTGCAAGGTGAAAGACAGAACCCCAATCGTTGGGCTGCTGGAGGCGATGTTCCAAAATCCGTTGCATTAAAATCATTTTTTGGTGGGGATTGTAGTAGGTGTGTTGCTCTTCTCGGGCTTCTTTTGGCTCTGAGTGGTTCTGTCCTTATTCGAGTTTTCTCGACTACTCGAGGTGTGCTCCTACTGATGTCCCCAATTGTGGTGGCTATCTTAATGGTGGTAGTTGTCTGCTCTATCTTTGTTGTCTCTCGATCTTCAAGGCTAAGGTCTGAACATCTCATAGTGTCCAATATAGCTGCAACTGCAAGATGTTGCGAGGGCTTCATACCACCCAAATATCATGTTATGGCATGTACTTTTTGCTCTACCAACTCATGCTTCATATGTAATTTGTCAAACTGGGTTGTGAACTCCACTAATAGATCTCTCAGGAACATATCCGGTTGGTAATGAGGAGATAGGTGTTTTCTATACACCGCCTTCATAATCTTGTCCCACTTGATAATTTTGTCACTAACTTTTCTCTCTGTCTTTGATTCTCTCAATTGCATGCAACTATTAGATGAAGTCATTGGGATCCATACCCCCATCGAACTATGGTAAATCTATATTTATTCTGAAGTCCCTGTGTCCTCCATATGTGGCATCATCTCTCCGTGTCTGATCCTGGATTCCAAAGCGTCGTCGCCTTTCTTCTTCATCATTGAAATTCTCCCTACGGTTGAAATTCTCGTCTCTTTCCCCCCTTCGACTTTTCCTGTCACGATCTAGGGTAATTTTCTTCTAAGTTTTATCATTCATGTCTGTAAGCCTCCGCTGAAGTTGACAAATCTCTCGCTATTTCTCTTCTTGGGTAGACTTGGGTATGCATCTCCTTGGTAGCATGGCTAGAATTTAGGATTGAGATGTGAAAATGGGGTCTGAGACAAATTGATGGTGTATGAAAGTTAATTTGGGGTTGTTAGTTTTGAAAATCAATAATGGAAAGTTATGGTTAGTTTAAAATTTATTTATGGTTTGGGAATGAAAAATAAATTTTTTGGGTTGAGGTGGTTTGGGTAGGTGCGGATGCTTGGAAACCCTAGGATAAGACTAAGATTAGTCTAGCTCTTATACCAAATGATATCATAGTTAACCAAAACCACAATCAAAATGAAAATATTATTGCTGAAATTCAAATAGGTTGCAGTGCGACTCTCCAAAATAGAAAAAGATGACAAAAAACATAAAAACACACAGTTCCGACATTAGCTGGAAAGGCAATGAAAGGAGCTACGGTGAGTTTTTGGTAGGTTGGAAGAGTAGGCAACAGTTTTTGGAAGGCTGGGAGGAGGTTACGGGAGAACCTGGAAGTTTGTTGCCGCAGGGAAGACAACTGACGGGAAGAGAGTTGGGGACTGCGACTAGGAAGAAGGGGGGAAAGGAGGTACGGGAAGATGGGAGGTTTGAGGCTGCAATAGACAACAAAATTGTTGTGGATGAATTGCAACAAGTATGTTGACGAGGACAAAGAAAGGGAGGTTGCGGGTGATGGGTGGGTAAAGAATTATCACCACTTTGGAGCAAGATGCCTTAGGAACACCACTTGTCGAAAAAAGGGATGATGATGATTGTCCAAATAGAAATCTCAGCAAAAATTAAACGCTAACCCTAAACTCTAAACCACTTTGGAGCAAGATGTCTTAGGAACACCACTCGTCATCAGATAGAAGGGAAAAAAAGGGATGATGACGTTTGTCCAAATAGAAATCTCAACAAAAAATAAACCCTAACACAACAAACAACTTATTTATAGTAAAAATTATTGGAGGGGTCTCCCTTGGGTGACAGTAGCTCCTAGCCCTAATTAGGGCTGAACCATTCAGCCTCCTTGCAGAACTGGTTCCCCTTGATGAACCATGGACCAGTTCAACCCTAGCAGCCTTGCGTCATCGGCTCGTCGTGCGGTGTTTAAGTGGAAAAGTCTGTTTGGGGCAGCTGCAGCTTATCCAGATTATGCTGATAAACAACTTATCCTGATAATCCACTGATGACCAACCCTAGCAGCCCTGCGTCATCGACTTTTCGTGCGGTGTTCAAGTTGAAGGGTTTGTTTGGGGGCAGCTGCAGCTTATCCAGCTTATGTCGATAAACAACTTATCCTGATAATCTGCTGATGACCAGCTGATCCGGATAAGCTGGCTGACTGTTTGGTCTGTGCGTTCGGAAAACAACTGATTCTGGATAAATGACTAATATGCCCATGTTCTAGATAAGCTGTTTAATTGTTTGATTTGTGCATTTTGTAAATAGCTGATTTACAGATTTTTTTGTTAAATGAACAATCTGACACGTAAAATTGATATTGTTCTACAAAAAACTGCAATATCTACCAGCAGTTGCTCTAAAAAGTTATTTTGATTAATATAGCACCCTCACAACATTTTAGCAAAGTAAAAGAATTGAAATTCTAGAAAACTTACCTGACAAAATAATTGTCAATCCATGGAGCCAAACATATATTCATTTACTCAACTCAATTAAACAAGAGGTATTGTAATTTCAGCAAAGCAACTTTAGAAGAACCTAATCAAATTTCAGCAAAGTTAGTGGTGCCAAATTTAAAACAATTCAGATATTCAGGGAAAAAATATTCAATGCGAAAGAGTAACAACAGTGAAGGAACAAAAAAAGAAGAAGGAAGAAGAAATCGAGGAAGAAGAAGAAGGAAAAGCGGTAGAAGAAGAAAGAAGAAGGAGAAGCCCCATGGGCCACCTAGAGGCTCAATTAGCCATACCCGAATCGGCCATACCCGAGCCACAGAGGTAGGAGGAGGAGCTTGTGCAACATTTTTCTGCAATTGAGGGATCGAGCAGCCCTACCTGAGCAAACAAGAGAAGGAAGGAGAAGCATTTCTGCGCTATATCTTCGACAGAGAGGAGTAGTGCATAGGCTTTGCGAGAGCTTGGGGAGAAAGAAGAAGTTACGGGAGCGTGAAGGGATCCATCGAACCCGATAAAGGAAATAGGGCAGAGCGAGGGGAGCGCTAGAGGGCAGTTGGGTAAAAGGGTGTTCGAAACGTTGATCGCGGGCTATACCTGCGATCGCGTCTTCATTCATATATCATCACCTGAAACGTTCAAATCAAACGGTGCGGCGACGTTTTTAAAAACTCCGCACTTATAAGCTGCCCCAACGGGCCCGAAGTCGGTGCTGCATTTTTTCGGTGTGTGTGAAGGAGGATAACCAAGCAACGAAGAAGAAGGAATGAGAAGGAGGACTCCGCTTGTGTGAAGGAGAAGAGAAGGGATGTTGAGCAGTTCTCGTGCGAGAAGTGGATTGAACTAAAGAGCATTGCAGATCTCACCACCATCTTATAAAATTTTACTTCCAAGTTTAAGCGGTACTTTTCTCTCACGCAATAGGCCCGATGCATTCCTCCACTTCAACCAACCAACTTGAATACTACTAATAATGTCCCCATCTATATCACCATCAATTTGAATAATAGACCCGATATATCTAAAATGGTCAGACCTTTTAATGATTTGATCACCCACAATTACAACTCTGTCACTAGAGCTACCACTACTAAAATTACATTGCATGTATTTAGTTTTAGATCTACTCCAACAAAGGCCTTTAAACTCTAATGTGGGCCTCCATAATTTAAGTTTCTCTGAACTCTTTCTCTAATCTTATCTACAAGAAGGATATAATTAGCAAATCGGCCATGAAGATTGGATTTGTAAAATAAAATTTATAAGATTCCTAAAATACAAAATCCAAGAATATATGAGCAAAGAAAATCATGATACCCAAGAAAGTATACCAAATTAATACATAAGTTTTTGATGAAAAAATACTTGCTAATATCAATAGCTTCTAAAAAATGATGTCAAATTGAAATGCATGAGCTAATGATCACCTAGCATTCTCAAAGTAACTTTATGTAGGTACAAGCACAATTGATAATCACAAGGAAAGTTGGTAAGGCTCATTATATCAAATCAAGTTGCATTATTTTGATTCCATCATATGTGTATCATTTGATCTTTGGACAAAGCTATGTTATATTATTTAAATAAACTATCATTTCAATTCAATTGAGATTTAAACATGAAACAATAAAATTGTTGCAATCATTTAATTTTACTTTAAAAAGTATGCTATTATAAAGTATTTTATGAGCTTTATTGATTTTTTACTTTCAAGATTAGATAATTAGAGAACAAAACACATTATCTAAAATATGAACCACTTGAAGATTATCAAAGTTAATTCATAATTATGTAAAAAAAATCATCTAGGATGTTAAATTATTTAAAGTGTAAGAAGATTAATGAAAATGCAT